TCTCTCTCTTGCCAATTATGATAATATATCAACATAACCGTTCAAATAAATATTCCCAAGCACTAATCAAGAAAAACAGTAGTTCAACTCCCGACTTTGAACAAACAACAACCAAATTTAGTACACCAACTTCACCTGCTTCGTTAACAGAAGAGAATAAACAATTTCTGAAGTCACTAGGATTTACATTACGCAATGAGTGACCATTTACTGGAAATTTCCGAAAAACCACGTTACGATGAAACAATAACAAGATGGAGCGATCATTCATATTCGCCTTTTGTAGAAACATTCAATGTTAGTGATACAATTCGAATATGTATTCAGCATCAAGATTTAATTTTACTCCCAAGTGAAAGTTTTCTTTACATCGAAGGAACGTTAGTCGACGATGGTAATAATTTTAGTGACGGAATGAAACTGAATAACAATTGTGTAGCCTTTATGTTTGATGAAATCCGCTACGAGCTTAACGGCATAGAAATTGATCGTAATCGAAATGTAGGAATTACTACTTCTATGAAAAATTATGTCTCGTTGAATCACAATGAAAGCGATGCCTTTTATACTGCAGGATGGGGTTTGAAGGAGAACCAACTGGATAAAAACATAAAACTATCTGATAAACATTTTAATTTTTGTGTTCCTTTAAAAATGCTACTCGGCTTCGCAGAAGATTATAGAAAAATTATTCCTAATGCCAGACATGAGTTAATTTTAACTAGAGCTAAATCAAACGATAACACAGTTTATCTGATTTCACCAACAATCAAGGATTATAATCTACACATTGATAAAATATTATGGAAAATACCTCATATTACTCTTAGCGACACCGCACGTCTTAAATTATACCAATTTATGAAAAGCTCTAGACCAATATCGATAGGCTTCCGCAGTTGGGATTTATACGAATATCCAAATCTACCAAACACCACCAACATTGTATGGCGGGTGAAAACCAGTACTCAAATGGAAAAACCAAGATTTATTCTTTTCGCATTACAAACTGACAAGCAAAACAAAAAAAATGCTGATGTTAGTAACTTTCCCCCCCTTGGTCGTCACCTTGCCGTGGTGGGGGGGCCCGACCTAAACTTGCTGGAGATCCCTTAAAGAGGCTGGATAGGCGCTAAGAACTACCACCAAATCTGCAATGAATATGTCTAATGAGTGTACGGAACTTACTGCTGCAGCCCGTTCGGATCGGGCAGAGCCGGCAGGGAGGGGGGTTTTGGAGCAGGCCCCCGCCCGGTCGTCATCCAGCGACTGCTCTGAAGTTGATGGGACATCCCTATGCCGGTGTGGGGTGTCTGGCGAAGCTACCGGCCAGCGAAGGACTCGTTCGTCCGATGACGGGACCGACGCTGCCATACAGCCAGAGGCCGATAAGCCTGATCCTGATCTAGGAAGGGGAAGGGCGGTAAGGGGTCGGCGTCCAAGGCTTTGGCCAAGGTCGACGTGCCCAAACCCGCCAAGAACCTTGTCGTCAGGGTTGAGAGGGTCCTGAGACCGAAGGAGTCGGTCGCGGAGGGGCCCAAGAGTGAGCCCAAGAGACCCGAGGAACCTCAGAGCGCAGGACTGCCGGTGACGGCGGGAGCTCGTAAGGACCTCAGAGCGCAGGAGCTGGAGAGGATAAGGCAGATCGGGGAGAGTCTCCGTAGCTTTGTCTTCAATGAAGGCAACAAAATCTCGAAAGTGGCTGCCAAATTCGTTTTGGACAGGCACGCAGAGTGCGAGGGCATCCTATTGGAAGCTCTCGTGGAGAAAGAGATTGCGATGGCGGCGCGTCCGATCGCGGCTCCCCAGGTGGTACAACCGGGGGTGTCGTTTGCGGACAAGGTGCGAGGGGGGAAGCAAACGTCGGGTAAACCGACCACCGCTAAAGCTCCCAAGCCTAGCCGCCCTGTACAAAAGGGCACTGTAAAGACGGCCAAGCCTGGTAATAAGGCTGCCTCAAAGCAGAAGGGTGTCGCGGTGATCGTGAGGTCACACGACAAGAAGCTCTCTGCGGACGAGGTTAAGGCCAAAGTATTGGCAGTGGGTGGCGCACTCGGACGTGTCCGGGTGTGCGCATTGCGTAGAGTGAAGGAGGGAGTCGTCATTGAGACGAAGACCTCTGAAGAGGCAGAGGAACTGCTGAAGAGCGATGAGCTCAAGAAGCAGGGACTCACGGCCGCCACCCCGCAACAGATAGGGCCGAAGATCCTGATCAAGGATGTCCCTTCGGCCCTGACAGACCAGGAGATCCTTAGGGATCTCCATGCCAAAAACCTAGAGGGAGTGGTTTCACCCGAAGAGTTCGCCTCCAGGGTGACAATACGCAGTAGGAGGAAGGCTCCTGTAGTACGTAAGGGTGAAAGTGGTGCATGCCCGAATAGTGAGTGCTGGGTAACGTTCGAGGTAACACCTGAAAGAAACCGTACTGAGAGAGAAAAGGGTGTACCTCGGCATGCAGTCGTGTAGGGTCGAGGACACCGATGACGTACTGCGCTGTTATAAGTGCCTAGGGTTCGGGCACAAAACAGCATCCTGCAGAAGCATAGTCTCCGCGCTTTGCTTCCGCTGTGGAGAGGAGGGACACCAGCGAACGGCCTGCGACAGGCCAAGTAGCTGTGTGAACTGTCGGGCACGGAAATTGCCGCACGGTCATCTGATTAAGGCGAGATCCTGCCCTGTATTCAAAATGGCAGTGCAGGATAGAGCAAGTCGATACGCGTGATGGCGAACACGACCATAAGAGTTCTCCAGCTGAACTGTAGGAGATCCTATGTGGTCATGTGCGAAGTCGGTGTGCTAATGCGTGAGAATGGGATTGGTGTTGCCTTGCTACAAGAGCCATATGCCGTGGACGGCGGCGTCCGAGGACTGCCCTCGGGGATGGTGATTGTGGGAAAGCAGGGTGGAGAAGATCCCAAAGCGGTTGTGGTGATAGACAGCTCCGAGGTCGACGTAGTTGACCTAAGCCAAGACCTGACCAGGTGTGAGGCGCTGGCCTATCTAAGCGGACCGTTCGGTGAACTGTATGTCTGTTCCCAATACTGTCAGTTCGCTGGCGATATCGAGGACAGCATACGGAGTATCGAGCGGGTCGTGGAGAGAAGCAGGCGGAGAGCGCTGCTGATCGGCCTTGACGCTAACGCTGAGTCGCATATGTGGCACAGCAAAGGCATGACGGGCCGAAGTGCAAAAGTTGCGAGAGGGGAGAGCCTGGAACAGGTGATCCTGGCCAATGAGTTAGAGGTTCTAAACGTACGGTCGGAAACGTCCACATACGAGACGGCCGTAGGAGAGAGCGACATAGATGTCACCCTCGCAAGGGGGTTGCGCGGAAATGTCGCATAGAACCAACCTGGTCCTCTAGCGATCACAATCCCATCCTTATTGAGATTACTGAGTGTGCAGCCAACATTACCACCGGAGAGCCGTCCGCTCTTCCAGCGTGGACCATCAGGGAAGCCTGCTGGGCCGACTGGGAGGAGGCGGTGCTTCAAAGGGTCAGTCCTATGGCTGATTTCGAGAAGTTACCCCTCGGCGAGATGGTTGCTCGGCTGCAAGGATGGGTAGTGGACGCGAATGACCAGGTATTGAGAAGAGCCAGGCAGCCTACGAGGGCAATACCTCCCTGGTGGACAAACGACCTCCGAAGCCAAAGGAATGCCCTGAGGCGTTGGAGGAAACGAGTCCAGAAAGCACGAAGGAGAGGAGATCCGGACGTGGAGGTCCTGCAAAGGGCCTACAGAGAGGGCATCCGCTCCTACGCCAAAGCAGTGAGAACCGAAAAGGAAAGGAGTTGGCGGGAGTTCGTCAAGGTAGAGGGCAACCGTGACCCGTGGGGACAGGTTTACAAGATCTGCCGCGGGAAAAACAAGAGCGTAGCGCTAGGAGAGATCAGGGTAGGCGACGAAGTCGGCCGAACCTGGAGAGAGAGCACCGAGCTCCTCCTGAAGGTGTGGTTTCCCGAAGGTACTCAACCAGACCGAGGGGAGCCTGAGTACAGGAGGCCCGACGAGCATTTTGACAGGGAAGAAGTTGAGACTGCCGTTGGCAGGCTGAGACCCGGTAAAGCCCCCGGAGTAGACGGGATACTACCTGAAATGGTCAAACGACTATGGAAGGCAGCCCCTGCGCACGTACAGTGCCTCTACGACCGATGCTTGCAGACCGGAGTCTTCCCTACACAGTGGAAACTTGGGAGGGTAATTACACTACTCAAGTCACCCGATAGAGATCTGACCAACCCCGGATCGTATAGGCCTGTGTGTCTGTTACCGGTCTTGGGGAAGGTCCTGGAGAGACTGATGGTCTTCCGACTGCGAGCTAAACTGGGCAACCAGCAAAGTGAAAAGCAGTTCGGTTTCAAGCCTGGCCAGAGCACCGAGAGTGCCTGGTATGAAGTGAAGCGGACGGTGAGCAGGTCCGAAAAACGTTACGTACTGTAAAGATCCCACTTAGCATCATATCTAGACTACCTTATCGTTTTGACGTCATGCTTTTGTAAACAGACTTATACTATATAAACCCCTATTCTTGTATTAAGTCTTCAGTCTTGTGCTTCGCTTAAAACTATAATAAAGTAAAATTCATTAAAAGTACAACTTGTTTTAATTAACATAACTTTTAAGAATATACAGTTAAGTGAGGTACACTCCTATTGTTGTATGCATTGAACAATAGCATTTGATGTGCTCCAGTCAAAGTGATAATAATAACAAATAGCATTTCGAGTGTAACGTTATTATTTTCGACATCAACGAGTCTACATCATAACAAATTGGCGCAGTCAGTAGGATTCTCATAATTAAAACGAGAATCTAAAGAACAAGCAACTGGATCAACTTGGACGACAGAGATAATTGCAGTTCTGGGACTCCGCTCACGCAGGTCCACTGTTCCTCGACAGACCAAGAAGATTCAAGCAAAAACCGAGTCATCACTCAAAAACAACTACCAAGGTAGGATTTTCAATTTACTCTATTTGCCGCATATAGTCATTTCCTCGAACCCCTTGTATCCTAAAATCTGTCAAAATTGAGACTTTAAGGAATTTAGTTAAAGGAGAATTGGTCGAGAGTGCTATCACTGACGACGATAGTAGTAGTAGTAATAGTAGCAATAACATGGATCCACCAAGTGTGATTGAAGATGTCCCTATGGACCAATCAATATTTTCAATGTTAATCCATGCTATTCCTACATTTGATGGTACTTCAAACACTGTAAAATATAGCTATTTTAAAAGCTCAGTTCAGGAAGTATTCAATTGTTGCTCAGCTCAACATTCAAAAAATATTGGATTCACTAATTATTTCGAAACTTGAAGGTTCTGCTAAAATAAATGTAACTACAAGAGAAATAAGAGGTTGTGCTCAAATATTTAAGCTCTTTGATAGTTTGTACGTTTCCGATAAAAGTTACGACCACATGTTGTGGGAACTTTTTAATTTTGATAGTAGAAATTGCAAGACAGTCAAGGAACTATTTACTAAAATGGCTCCGATTAAAGATAATATAATTTCCACTATATTATCAACACATCGCTTAACGGATGAACCCGCTAATATTACAAGTATAATTGATACAATTTCTGCCGGTTGTTACGTTAGGAAAATGCAACCAGAAATATCAAACCTAGCTATACAACACACTTATCCAAATATGGAAATTGCATTAGATACGTGTTTGCGCTATGAACAAAATTGTAGATTTAGGTCACAGGAGAAATTTAGGGACTATAAAACTACATCTTTTCAATAACCAAGTAAAAATAAGGTTTTTAAATCAGAAAATAAAGAAAAAACAGTAACATTTACGGAAGACAAGAGCGAAAGAAAATGCTCGTATTGCAATAAAATAGGTCACGTAAAAGAGAAATGTTACAAGTTACAGAATGTAAATAAAAAGAAAATAAATGTAGCAGACTTGAATTCTGATTCAGACTCGGAAGAGGATGAAGAAAACACGTTTGAAGAAAATCAGTCTTTAAACTACTACAGGAATCCGCAAGAAGGCACGGATTTAGAATAAAGAAAAGCCCTTCCAAAATCATTCTTTTTCATAACCTTAACAATCTAAATGGTTACAGGTCATTACCATACATAAAAACTAATATTTATGGTAAAGATTGTAAACTCTTAATAGATAGTGGTGCGTGTATTTCTATTTTTAAATATGAACATGGGCTACCTAAACCAAAACCAGGGAAAACCTACGAACTAACAGGTCTCAATTCAGATCCCTTTAATACAATTGGAATATTAAAAACACATATCAAATATCCAGAAATACCAATAAAATTTCATTATGTCGCAGAGAATAATTTAAAAATTGACGGAATAATAGGTTCAGATTTTTTTCAAACAACAAACGCAGTAATAAATTTTAATCAAAACACATTAAAGGTAAATAATTTCAAAATTCCCATTTATTATCACAAAGATAAGATTATAAATTCAATAACCATCCCAAGAAGGACTGAACAAATAATTAAATTAAAAACAGATAAGTATAAAATCAATAAGGATTACTTGATGAAGGGTTTACAGAAAGATAACATTCATTTACCGGACGCTCTTATCAGAATTGATGAGTTGGGAGAGTTTATGACAACTGCTATAAACACTTCAGAACAGGATATTACATTTGAATTACCAAAAATAGAATTATTAGAAAAACCACTTGAATCTGTCCAGATAAATTATATCGAGAAGAATGATAAAGAAGATATTGAACGAGAAAAACAACTCTTGGAACAATTACGCATTAATGACTTAAATAAAGAAGAACTAGACTCATTAAAACCTTTAATATTAAAATATAGTGATATTTTCCATTTACCGAATGACAAATTAACCAGCACAAGTATACTAGAACATAAGATTATTACAACAGACGAAATGCCGCTTCAAAGTAAGACATACAGGTATCCAAAGGTGCATCAAGATGAGGTAGAGAAACAAATACGTGAATTACTTGACAATGACATCATACAACCCAGTTTTTCCCCTTGGAGTTCACCATTGTGGATAGTGCCAAAGAAAAAGGACGCATCTGGAAAAACAAAATGGAGAATGGTCATCGATTATCGAGAATTAAATAAGAAAACCATTGATGATAAATATCCACTACCCAACATTGAAGAGATTCTAGATAACTTAGGACAATCCCAGTATTTTACAGCGTTAGACCTTACCTCTGGATTTCACCAAATTAAGATGTCAAAGGAATCCATAGCCAAAACAGCTTTTACTGCTAATGGACGATTATACGAATACAAACGAATGCCTTTCGGATTAAGAAATGCTCCAAGCACATTCCAAAGAGCAATGAATTTAGCACTAAACGGACTAACACCGAAACAATGTATGGTATACATTGATGACATTATCATCTTTGGAAAAGACCGATCATAACGAAAAATTAGAAAACGTCTTTAAACAGCTCAGAACCCATAAGTTAAAAGTCCAATTGGATAAATCAGAATTTTTAAGAAGAGAAACACAATTTTTGGGACATATAATAACACGTGAGGGCATAAGACCAAACCCAGAAAAGATAAAATGTATATTACAATTTCCTAGACCAAAGAACGAAAAAAATATTAAACAATTCCTAGGACTTACGGGATACTACCGCAAGTTTATTCCTAATTGTTCACAAGTCGCTAAACCACTAACCATGCTCTTAAAGAAAGAACAACCTTTTGTCTAGGACGATAAATGTCAAAAATCATTTGAAACACTGCGAGATTCATTAATTAAGGAACCCATACTAAAATATCCTAACTTTAACGAGGAATTCATACTTACTACCGACGCATCTAAATATGCAATAGGCGCGGTCTTATCACAAGGAGACATAAAAAATTCATTACCAATAGCTTATGCTAGCCGAACTTTGAATCCAGCTGAAAGCAGGTATAGCACGATAGAGAGAGAATTACTAGCAATAGTGTGGTCACTAAAACACTTTAGACCGTATCTATATGGCCAGAAATTTAAAATTATAACCGATCATCAACCACTCCGATGGCTATTTTCAGTAAAGGACCCCTCATCCCGACTAATGAGATGGCGATTAAAAATAGCAGAGTACGATTATGAGATAATTTATAAATCAGGAAAGCAGAATGCTAATGCCGATGCCGTATCACGCATATATGCTATTGACAGAGAACGAGAAGTAAATAACGATCAACAAATTAATTACACCACTTTCCCAAAACTTGAGGACTATGATTGTATTGTATTTCGATATGAAACCTGTCCACAATTTATTAACAGTCTCATTACGAATACATCATTAAAATTACCATTAAGTGAAATGGAAATGGACATTCTCAAGGATAATCCAAACAAAACAATCATAATAGATAATTCATTAAATGATCGTAATTTCAGGTTAACATTACACACAATATGTGTTATGTTTCAAAACGAAAGAATTCTAGTAATAAGCACCGATAATGAACAAGACGCTGTGATTAAAGAAGAAACATATGAGAGTAAGTTCACCATAGCAAGATTTATAAGAATCGATATACCTGAAGAAAATAAACTACAAATAATTAAAGAATACCACGAACACCCACTTAATCATCATAAGGGAATTAAAGAAACAATTGAAAAAATAAAGAAAGATCATTCTTTCTCTAAACTTTATGAATTAACTGAAAATTACATAAAACAATGCAAAGTTTGTCTTACCAATAAAGTTGATAGAACACCAAGAACTTACCCAATGCAAATTCCTGAAAAACCAACTAATATAAATGAAAGAATAAACATTGATTCCGCCATGTTAAAAGCAGGAAGAAGGAAAATCTATATTGTTATCATTCAAGATGACATGTCCAAACTATGCCAAGTAAGTTCATATGATGATCCAATAACAGGAGATCAGGTGAAACAGTGCTTACTGTTTTATTTCTCAACATTCGGAATACCAAAACGAATACATTCGGATTCTGGAAAAGAGTTTATGAACTCAACAATTAAAGAACTAATTGCCAAATTAAAAACTAAATGGACTACATCAAGCACATATCACCCACAATCGAACGGTTCTATAGAAAGATGCATAGCAAGTATCAAAGAACAGTGCATATTAATATATAATTCACCAACGTTAACTGATTTCACAAGTGATGAAATTCTACAATTAGCAGTACATAATGTGAATACTTCTATCAATAATTCACACGGTTTCACGCCATATCAAATTCACTATGGAAAAGAACCAACTACGTTAGGAGAACTAAACCAACAAAAGGAACAAGACCTTACCGTTCTAGAAAGAATAGAATACCTAAAGAATCTGAGACAAACAGCCGTACAAAACATACAAGAGAAGCAAGAGAAAACAAAAATCAGGAGAGACACCAAAGCAAGGAAAAAACCTAGCTACGAAGTAGGCGAAGAAGTTTTTGTAAGAATTAAACAACAGGGAAAATATAAGCTCAAAGGACCTTTCAAAATTAACAAAAAAATAAATGACTATTGTTACGAAATAAATTCCCCATTACCAACGAAAACTAATATCTCAAATATGTAGGCTTTTTTCTGTGGTTGTCTAGGGTGAATAAAAACGAATCCAGCTCCACTATTTTTAGAAAGTATTTAATGAATAAAATTAAAATATTAAAAAGTATAAACGTTTGCACAATTAGAGTTTTCCACAGTATTGAACAGCTATCCTGATACACTTTTCTTATTGGTCACAACAGCACATCAATATACAATTGATTTTATCGTCTTCCGTCTTTATCGTCTTTTTCAGGACTTTCCGTCTTTTGTACGTCTTTCGTCTTCTACGCGTCTTTCGTCTTTCTCGCGTCTTTCCTCTTTTATTTTTACTCTTTTTGTTCGTCTGACCTCGATGGCTACTTATTTGCAACTACTCTTCCCCCGCGGTGTTCACCTTCGTTCACATTGGTAAATCCCCTATAATCTGGGACTTGCAAAAACAATTCGAATGAATCAGGAGCGGACAAACTGCAGAAACTCGCTATCGTATTATTAGGATAAATATAACTGTTATAACTTAACGGAAAGAAAAATAAAACAAAAACCCACAAATATAAAGAAGATAACGCCGACTAATAGAAGCAATTCTATTTCAGATGACCAACCTAACCCTGTGGTTAGCCCTACTCATCATACCGACGATAACAACTAAAGAAATCGACATAACTTCACTATCATCTGACACCGGATTTTACGTTAAATTTATAGACGACCTCAGGATAATTGAACAACAATACTCGTTAATAATAGTGAAAGACATTAAACCATTAACAGAAGGAATAGAACAGGTAGAAAAATTAATAAACAAAGTCAGAACAATTGAAAACTCTTTAAAGAATCAGGCCCACTCTTATGTTCATACAGTTATATTAGATAAACAACTAAAATATCTTAAGAGGAACGTTGACATCATTAACAATTCATTATTAAGTAAAAGAAACAAAAGAGGATTAATAAATGGAGTAGGAACTATATTTCACTATCTTTTTGGAACAATGGATGCAGACGAAGACCAGGATATTCAGAAAAGTGTAAACGAATTACAATTATCGAATAAAAATATATTAACTTTAGTAGACAGAAACGTTCACATTGTCAAGGATACGATTAAAAGCTTTAACGATACATTGAGCTCACTCTCTTTAACAGAACAAACGATATCTAAAAACTTTGACAAAATTAACAAAGCTATTAATACAAATTCGTTATTAATACATGGAAATGAATTCTCGATACGTTTATTAAATATGATAACCTTCAGTGATGAAATACTTACTGAATATACCAACGAAATTAATAATATAAAACAACAAATTCTGTATGCTAAATTAAACAAAATACCACCATCCTTTTTAGAGAACAATTTATTAAAACAAAGCATCTTAGAAATAAATCGCCAGGTACCAGAGTTTGAATTACCATTTAACCCGGATACTGAATTATACAAATTTCTCGACTCAGCCAAATTAAATATTCAAATGATAAATTCAACAATCATTTACAAAATTAAAATTCCATTGTTAAGCAAGGATATATTTAAATTATATCACATCCTTTCAATCCCTGTCCGCAAAAACAACCATTTTCAAATCTTTATACCCGAAACTCCCTATGTGGCAATAGAGAGATTGAAATCCATTTATACATCATTCACTTCCCAAATGGAGTTGATGAACATCCAAGACAAGATCTTCATAATTAACCCAAACATCAGAGACAAGGACGATGGTAACTGCGAGACCGACATCTTATTCCAAGGTAGACTCACCAATAAATGCCATGGAACATTGGTCAACATCGATCAAAGCGAGATCCGCCAACTTGAAGAAAACCAATGGTTGGTTACTGTACCTGCACCTACGGACTTTACATACAAATGTAAAGATATGGAGATAAGGACCGTAATTCTTAACACCAATTGCATCATACAATTAAACGACCAATGCACTGGAATGCTGGGCAATCACCTCAAGATCACCTATTACAAAAGAAAACCTATTTACAAAAATATAACTGGTACAATGGTACAAATCCCTAACGATTGTTGCTTACCGGAGAAATTAAAAAAACGAAGAATTACATCTTCATGCCATTCCTGTCCATGCACTTAACCAAGAAGAGTTGATAATGAACAAACACAAGATAGAAAGAATAGAAGAGGACCTTTATAAGGAACAACTTCGACCCCTCTCCAAACTTGGTTCAATCAAATGGTGGCACATGCTATTGTCCTCATTGGGCGGACTACTAATGATATTATTAGCTTGCTGTTGTTGCTGTCCGAAGTGCTTGACCCTAATTAAACCACGATGGTCCAAACGTTGCTCAGATTACTGTATCAAAATTAAGAATAAAAACATCAGCTACCCTTATAGGGATCCAAAGGAAAGACAACCAATGTACAACCCTCATCTAGCCAGTTCAGCTCCAAACATAATGGAATCCAGTGTTAAATTCTCGGATTTACTACAAACTCAAAAGAAGAATGACCAGTCCATATATCCTAATCTAAAGAAATGGACACCTCCGAAAACATTAATAAAATAAGAAATACGTTATATTACCCTATATTATACTATATATTGTATTATCATATTTTATCCTACATTGTATTATACTTTTGTCATGATATATTTAAAAAGGCATAACAAAAATCTTAGTAAGGGAGGAATGCAAAGATCCCACTTAGCATCATATCTAGACTACCTTATCGTTTTGACGTCATGCTTTTGTAAACAGACTTATACTATATAAACCCCTATTCTTGTATTAAGTCTTCAGTCTTGTGCTTCGCTTAAAAGTAAAATAATAAAGTAAAATTCATTAAAAGTACAACTTGTTTTAATTAACATAACTTTTAAGAATATACAGTTAAGTGAGGTACACTCCTATTGTTGTATGCATTGAACAATAGAATTTGATGTGCTCCAGTCAAAGTGATAATAATAACAAATAGCATTTCGAGTGTAACGTTATTATTTTCGACATCAACGAGTCTACATCATAACAGTACTAGGTCTGTTCATCGACTTCGCAAGCGCGTTTGACAACTTGCACTGGAGCCGTATTGTCGCGAGGCTCCAACGAGTGGGGTGTGAAGAGCTAGCTTTGTGGCGAAGCTACTTCCACGAAAGAGAAGTAAGAGCCTACGGACCACGAACCCAGGTTAGTAGGCACGTCAAAAGAGGATGTCCCCAAGGCTCCGTCATCGGTCCGGAATGCTGGAATCTGATGATGGATGTCCTATTGAGAGAGTACGAGACAGAGGGGACGAGTGTTGTTGCCTTTGCCGACGATCTATTGGTCTTAGTCGAGGGCAGCAGCAGGAGAGAGCTCGAACACCGAGGTAGCACTGCTCTGGGTGTAGCTGTGAGGTGGGGAGAGACGGTTGGCGTTTCCGTATCGACCCAGAAGACGTGTTGTATGCTGCTTAAGGGAAGGCTGGCTGATACCCGGCCGCCAGTGGTGAGAAGCGGCAACTTCACAGTAGGGTATGTGCGCACCGTGAAATACCTCGGTGTGTGCGTAGGAGAGAGGTTGGCTTTTCGGCCACACCTCGAGGCATTAAGGGGCAAGATAGTGACAGTAGTTGGGCCCCTGCGGAGAGTCCTGCGCACGGAGTGGGGGCTGGGCAAGCGGGCAGTCCGCTGTGTGTTTAAAGGCCTCCTAACAGCATGTGCCCTGTACGGGTCAAGCGTTTGGTACCAGACGCTCCGTACGGGGGTGGGAAGGAACCTAATAAGGCGATGTGAGAGGGTAGCACTCCTGGCGTGTCTGAAGGTGTGTCGAACCGTCTCGACCGAGGCGATGCAGGTACTCATGGGAGAAATCCCGTGGGTACTGGAGGCAGAGAGGCGGGCGCTCACTTTCAAGGCGAGGCATGCAATACCGATGGAACCCGGGGACGTAGTCAGCAATGATGAAATCGCCGGCCTGTCGGCAACAGGGGTGCGCAAAGTATTAGAGAGAAGGATGTTGCGAAAGTGGCAAGACGGGTGGGACCTGTCGGTAAACGGCCGAGTCACACACCGCTTCATTCCAGACGTTCGTACTGTTAGGTCGAGCGGATGGATTGATCCTAGCATGGCAGCGGGGTACTTGATCACCGGACATGGCAGCATGAACGGGTTCTTGTACCAGAGAGGATTGGCAGAAAGTGAGGCGTGTTTATGTGGAGACCCCGTCGAGAGTTGGGAACACTTGCTGGTCAGGTGCCCGCTCTACGACGATATCCGAGACCTTTTACATCTCGGCGTATTTTGGGAGCTCGCGGGAGAGCCGAATGTGGGCCAAGTCCTGGCTAATAGAGAGAGCCATGAAGCCCTGAGAGAGTTCGCCTGGAGGCTTTTTGAGAGAAGGCGGCGGCTGCAAGCAGCGGCAGCCCCGTAGCGAGTATAGAGTACTAGGAGTAGTAAAGAACTGTGATAAGCACGGGGGTAGTATGGGACCGTGTGTACTGGCGCGCCGGCCGCGTCAGGCATGCACCCATCACTGCTTTGGGGAGTATCGCCCCCACGAACCCGGAGAGGACTAGCGAGGTAAAGCGAGTGCAGTATCGCCCCTCTGCTGGGATGGCAAACCAGTGTGCCCTGGTACCATGGGATTAGGCCCACCAAGCCCGGGACGTGCATAAGAGTACCGAGTGAAGGGTGCACGTTTTGGGACTATGTTGAGGAATGGACTCGTGGGGGCAGTGGTTNGAATAATTAATTTCAGCAGAATTTAACGTACGAGACGCATATGCAATTGGGAGATCTTTACCTATTTCACCTTGAGATAAAATAGCACCGATAGCAAATTTTGATGCATCTGTTGTTAAGATAAATTCTTTTGAAAAATCTGGAAATTGTAAAATTGGTTGTGTAACTAAAATTTCTTGAAAATGTTTGAATGAACTCTCTTGAGTTTCTGTCCATTGAAACGAAACGTCTTTCTTTAATAATGACGTCAAAGGTTTTGCAAATTTAGAAAAATCTTTAATGAATCGACGATAGTATCCAACAAGTCCTAAAAATTGTTTTATTTGTTTAGCATTTTTAGGACGAGGGTAATTTTTGATAGCAGTTACTTTTTCTGGATTTGGTTGGACACCATTTTCGTCTATTAAATGACCTAAATAATTTACTTCCCGTCGCATGAATTCACATTTATCGGGCTGCAATTTAAGATTATTTTCTCTAAGTCTTTGGAAAACAGCGCGTAATTTATTATTATGCTCTTGTATTGAGCTCGCATAAATGACAATATCATCGAGATAAACAAAACATTGCAAACCTTGCAACCCACTATGTGCGATATTCATTGCTCTTTGAAAGGTAGCTGGAGCATTGCGAAGTCCAAAGGGAATTCGTAGGAACTCAAAATGTCCATTAGGTGTGGAAAAAGCAGTTTTAGGAATATCTTCAATTTTTACTTTTAACTGATGGAAACCGCTAGCTAAATCTAAAGTTGTAAAATATTTAAAGTGTCCTAATTGATCTAGAATTTCGTCGATTAAAGGAATAGGAAAACTGTCGCCTATTGTTACTTCATTTAATTTACGATAATCAACAACTAAACGCCATTTTTGTTCGCCAGAAGCATCCATTTTCTTGGGAACAACCCATAATGGGGAATTATAAGGACTCACAGAAGGCTGTATTATTTTTTGTTTAATCATTTTAGAAATTTGTTTTTCAACTTCCTTCTTGTGGCATTCTGGTAAGCGATAAATTTTGGATGTTATCGGAGTAGGGTCCGAAACAGTGATAGGATGTTGTAAAACATCGGAACTTGTTAACTGTTCATCGGGTAGATGAAATATATCTGAATATTCGTAAATTAATTTTGATAAGTTATATTTTTCTTCATCATTCAAATGATTTAATCTTAATTGCTGATTAAGTAGTTGAAGTCGATTTGACGAATATGTTTTATTATTTATGTGAGCACATAATAAAGATGCTGATTTTTCATTAAAAGTTTCCAATTTTGTAGATATTGGAGATAATGAGTAAGGTTCGTCTAATGTATTTAAAATAGTTGTGATGCTTTTGTGATTATTTACTTTTAATAAGGCTTTAGCTATGAAGATACCATTATCAATTTCGATTGCGGGACAAATTCCCTCTTTTATATCATTGGTGACATTAATTTCAATTACCGTTTCTGATCGTGGCTTTAAAGTGATGATATTTGAATTATGTATTTTATCATTCACATTTAACTTATTATAATCACCATTAGTTATTTGCTTTTTCGAAGACCGATCCGTATCGTCTATGTTACACTTACGGCATTTATTGTTACTTATATTTTTCTTTACAGATTGAACTTTATCGTTCGCATGTTTGGGTAAAATACAATGTTCGTTTATTTTGGATATATGACAATCTTTATTTTTTATATTCTCCTGTGGAGATTGAACCGGATTACCTTTTATGGATTTACGGCAATTAATTTCATTGGTTGGCTCTTGTTGAGATCCAACACAATTATTTAATGATACATTGTCGTTATCGCTATATATTTTAATAGAACCCTTTTCCCAAAATAATAAATTTGAATTAAAATCAATTCTAGCATGATTTTTAATAAAAAATGGTAGNCCATATACGGTCATACCCCCACTCCTATCCCAAAAGAACGAACGCTCATTGGTCGAAAAAAAAAATATCACAAGCCACGCCCCTCGAAAAAAAAAAATCCATATATGGTCATACCCCCACTCCTATCCAAAATAAAGCTCATTGGTCGAAAAAAATATCACAAGCCACGCCCCGCGCATGCCTAGAAAGGAGATAATAATACCAAAAAAGTCATCCCCACTCTGATCCAGAGTCGCTATATCGTATATATACTACCCCTATTGTTACTTGATTTAATTTACGATAATCAACAACTAAACGCCATTTTTGTTCGCCAGAAGCATCCATTTTCTTGGGAACAACCCATAATGGGGAATTATAAGGACTCACAGAAGGCTGTATTATTTTTTGTTTAATTATTTTAGAAATTTGTTTTTCAACTTCCTTCTTGTGGCATTCTGGGAAGCGATAAATTTTGGATGTTATCGGAGTAGGGTCCGAAACAGTGATAGGATGTTGTAAAACATCGGAACTTGTTAACTGTTCATCGGGTAGATGAAATATATCTGAATATTCGTAAATTAATTTTGATAAGTTATATTTTTCTTCATCATTCAAATGGTTTAATCTTAATTGCTGATTAAGTAGTTGAAGTCGATTTGACGAATATGTTTTATTATTTATGTGAGCACATAATAAAGATGCTGATTTTTCATTAAAAGTTTCCAATTTTGTAGATATTGGAGATAATGAGTAAGGTTCGTCTAATGTATTTAAAATAGTTGTGATGCTTTTGTGATTATTTACTTTTAATAAGGCTTTAGCTATGAAGATACCATTATCAATTTCGATTGCGGGACAAATTCCCTCTTTTATATCATTGGTGACATTAATTTCAATTACCGTTTCTGATCGTGGCTTTAAAGTGATGATATTTGAATTATGTATTTTATCATTCACATTCAACTTATTATAATCACCATTAGTTATTTGCTTTTTCGAAGACCGATCCGTATCGTCTATGTTAGACTTACGGCATTTATTGTTACTTATATTTTTCTTTACAGATTGAACTTTATCGTTCGCATGTTTGGGTAAAATACAAGGTTCGTTTATTTTGGATATATGACAATCTTTATTTTTTATATTCTCCTGTGGAGATTGAACCGGATTACCTTTTATGGATTTACGGCAATTAATTTCATTGGTTGGCTCTTGTTGAGATCCAACACAATTATTTAATGATACATTGTCGTTATCGCTATATATTTTAATAGAACCCTTTTCCCAAAATAATAAATTTGAATTAAAATCAATTCTAGCATGATTTTTAATAAAAAATGGTAGGCCTAATACGCCATCAAATGGTACATTATATGCCTCCTTTAGAATATAGAATTCAGTAGGGATTGTGAAAGGTATTTCAATCGCTCCTACTGTTTCAACCTTAGCTTCACCCATAATTCCGTGAATATTAATTTTTTTGTTCGGAAAATAATTTAATTTCGTTTTACGGACTTTCTCTTTCTTAATCAAATTAACACTCGACCCAGTATCTAATAAAAATTTAAAANTCCTACCAACC